TTAACGCTTTCATTTTATACAAACAAAGTCTACCACACACCATGACTTTATGGTAGTAGTCCTGGCAGGGCTCCAATTCAGTATTTTACTGAATTGCCTGTCAAGTGCTGCAATCGTAATAACGGCAATGCAAGAGCCAGCAAATAATAAAAAAAAAATGCCGTAAATACTCCAATATTCAAATGCTTAAGCTCATACTAAGTGGCTACCGTCGTCATATCACACACGTTCTTGTTCGCACGACGAAATATTAAAAGCTTTAAATTCGCAGGCAGCATACATGTGCATGTACGGTTGAGTAAAGGGCACTAGCTTTCTTTGCGAAAAAAAATGGCTCGCAAACAGCCGATAGAGCAAGATTTAGAGGACGGCTTGTGCCCCCACACTGCGATAGACAATCAATATTTGTCTAGAATGCAGTATAAAACACAGAGACTACAAGACATGCGGACAAGTGGGTTTGCTGGTCGGTTAGTTGAAACTCGTATGTGCATACTTTTGTAATGTATTGCAAAAATGGTGTATTTTTGTAAAAAGCTGATTTTAGTTCGACTGAATTTCTATTCGTACCCCCTGAGTCATAGGTAGCATTCAAAGTTGGTTAACGCCATCTACATGTAGCGGCTGACATAGGTATGCAGCATTTGTTGTGCTACGCTAGCGAACTATTTAACTTGCATATCTCGAGCAGCATCAAATTTCTACAATTTATGATTCTAACTGATATCTGGGTACGAGATACGACCGTCCCAGCGTCTCGACACGAAGTAAAGTGCTATGTAGCTTACCCTGCGCATCGGTGTCAAGTGGCCGTCCACAATGTGAGCCAGCACTACCGACAAGTTAATTGTGCAAGCCATCTTCTCGGTAAACAACTTCATCCCCATGATGATATACAGATCTTTCGCTCGAATGAGAACGTCACTCCCACCGAGCAACACGAAACCTTCATCACGTACAGCTTTAGAGCACGTGAGGAATAGTGTCGTGCCATCTTCTCGTGCCTGAGTAACCAGTGTGTTGTAGTAGTAGTAGTTGCCTAATGGACCTCCACAGCCGTAACCCTCAAATGAAGTCATTTGATCCGGTGCCCGTTTATCAACAGGTTCGTACTCGTGTCGGTATTGGCGATACTGCACAATCTGGATTAGCCCGTACGCAATCGGGTGCACTAGGAAGATTACTAAGCCCACATAATGCTGCGTCAAGGCGTTGACGGCCACGTTGCACTCACTTGCGTTCTGTGGGCACGAGGATGATGAAGTCACCATATAATGAGGTGGGTCTCCCTTTGTAAGACTCCACAAAAAGATAGATAAGGACCCGATCATCCACGTCATTCTGGAGAAATAAAAGGCGTCGTTGTTGGCCATTTTTGGCCACAAAGTCACCGCTGCACGGACATCCAGTTGATGCAGAAGAATGAAGCTCACACCGGCCACGTACACAATTTTCTTATCATATATAGCTCGAAGTGCGCTGTTGCTGTTCCCACAGAGGTACATGATGTCAAAGACTTGATAATACAACACGTACACGAGCTGAAGTGCGATAATACAGAACGTCGGCAGCCGTAAAAGTTGTTGCACCAAATGGTACGTATTCAACGCTCCGTTGCACGCGTTGATAAAGATCATGAACACCAGTAATGCTAGTGCTTGAGCTGCCACTGCGAAAGTAAATTGTAGTCTTGGTAAGGTGATCGATGCCCCTGCAATCCGATATAGGATTACATTCACGTATTTGCTGTGTTTATAAGGGGTAGCGATCTCCAATTTATCAGCAAGTGTGGAGCCAAAGGTGTTTGTCGCGATAATTTTGTCAAAGCTCTGTCTCTTCTTAGACGGAATAGTCAGTCCTTGACCCGTGCCTTGCTTAGCTACGAGGTAGAACATCCGCTCTCGTACTGAAGTCGGGAGATCCATAAGATCGAACCATTGCGTCGTTGGGCCTTTATTCGCGGGAACAAAAGCTCCTGACATACCTCTAATATCGCTAAGATCGGGAAATAGCTGGAGTTTATTCCCGTTGACACAAGTTGGAGGTTCTTTCAGTCCAACGAAAACACTTTCTCGACCATTTTCTACCCATGTGCCTGAAGCCACAAGTCCACCGATATCGGCTGGAGTCACCAGCACTTGAACATATTGCACACTCACAAACTCGGAGCCATTCCGACAGAGTCCATAGGCACTCACGCCGCCTTGATGTCCCGTCATTAGAATGCATTCAGGTCCGTCCAAATCCAAGATAGAACACGCTCCATTCGAGAAAGTGGATTGGTCCAGAAACGTGAAATTCAGAAAACTTGTTGGCTTGTTCTCCTTCTGCGGATACCACGAGACGGCTGTAAAATTGCTGTTCATGGCTTCGACATATGCGTTAAGGAATCCGGTACCCAAGAAATAAGCAGGAGCGAACGAAGCATTCTTTTTAACGATGATACCAATATCGTCCGTCACTTGTTCCGCGTCGATGGACCCGTCAAAAAGTGGTGCGGACGTGATAGCGAGCGCCAAGTAAAGTAGAAAAATACCAACCGATACACGAACTCGAGACGCCTCGGCTGGTCGCGCGTGCTTGACTGTTATTGAACGAGAAGAAACTAATCTGAGCGGCTCGAGATCTCGAATGTTGCGTGACACGACGTCATTCTCCAGTAATTGGCGTCGGCTATATCTGCGCGTGACTTCTTGAATTTTCTTTGGATAACTTTTCGCTTTGCCACTCAGAGCGATCGGTCTGCGAGAAGTGCATATACCATCGGAGGTGGGGGAGATTGGAGTGATGGTACTCCCAACACCACTCTTGACCATTGTCTACCTTGTTCACGACAGCAAAGAGCGCTCTGTGCTGAACGTTAGATAAAGAGGAGGTCGGCGTTTTGAGCTAAAAGTAGGATGACCAGTTCCATATTTGTCCAAAACAATTGAATAGAGTAGTGCTCGTGTGTTTGAGGTTTCCATTTACAATACAGGAACACACCCTTCGGTCGGGTCTCGTCTCAACGTCTAACTACCAGTTCAGCATATCAACCGCCACCTGATTGGCAGGGATCTGCTTGGCCTCAAGCAGACACTCGAGACAGAAGAGCATGGACTTCTGCATGACTTCGGCGCCAATACCGACAGAAATCTTCTTGTTCACTGAGCACTTTCCACACAGAACACGACGGCAGACTTGACACGTGCCGCCGCGTTGGAATAAGATGTTGCCGAGCTTGTTGAGACTGCGTGTGCAGTTGGCGCAGTGACTGGTCGATCCGACACGGCCGTGCGCCGTGCGAGCAGATTTCTTCATCAACCACGTGAGTTTGTAGGCGTTCGCGCACTCAATGGAGTTTACGAGGGCCATGAGGTTCTCGGCGTACGCCGTGGCCGCCACATTGACTGGAACGTCTCCGTCAAGCTCCAAGAACGCACGCGAGAACATCTCGACCGACCGGTGACGGGGGTCATTAGGCGGCAGTCCCGTGTTCGCGAATGTCTGGCAACCGGACATTTGGCCACGGATGCAATCGGACGGACGCGGTAGCTTCAACACGTCCGAAAGATCTACAGATTGGCGCACACCGTAGGCGACGAGTTTGCCCTTGGCGTCCTTCATGAGGCCAGACGCCTCGAGAAACAGGAAGTCGCGGGCCTGGCTGAATCGGCCGTACGACTGTAGACCCCACTTCAAACCAATGAAGTTAAGCGGGTGTTCCGCGTTCGGATGGACGAGAACCGCAAGCAGACGCGAGTCCTCCAGCTCTGTTCCCAAGTACGAGTTGCGCATCATAGCGTGCGCCTCAGTGTCGGCCAGCATTCCCAACGCGGCGTCTTCGGCCGTGCCGGTGATGACACCCGACAGCACGACGGCCGGCGGACGCGACGTCTTTTTCAACCTGAGATGGTCACTGTCACCTGACGAAGCGGACGACGCGATCCCGGTGAGCTTATCCATGGTTGATCGGTGTGTAGCAGAGTCTGAGGACGATGACGACGCCAGCACATCCGACCTGTCATGATGCGTCACACCGCCGTGCAACGCACGACGCGAACGGTACGCGCGGACGTCGTCTTTGGTTTTGACCAGCTTCCACGCCTCCTTGTCAAGTTGACGTCCGCCGGCTGCGAACGCTCCACGGAGTTCCAACGTGTGCTGGATCACCGCGTCCACCTCGGCGATCAAAGCTGCCTGGCGTTCGGGTGATAGCTGGACATCCGGTATTCCTGCTTCTGGGAGTCTGAATTTGCCCATGGCTGAGTCCGTTGATCGGCTTGTGTCCTAAAGGCTGTTTCGGTGAATGGCAATCGCTAACGCGCTCGACCGGCCAAAAGGATAGGCAGAATAGGGCGTCGTGTGTCGGCCTAAGACTTTCGGAGAGTGTGACGAAGGCAAGAGCGAAAAGAGCCTTGTTGGACGGTGACAATCGCCACCGCTCTGTCACTGGCAAGTGCACTCATGGAGTGATGTCTGCGAAAGAAGCCGCCTGCCTCTCGGCGTGGCGTCGCGACTGACTGGCCATCTGGAGCGCGTCGTAGGCTGTATGTCGGACACCTTGAAGCGATGGATGAGGATCAAATCCGTGAAGATGGAGGACGTGTGCGCATGGTGAGACTTACAGAAACGATGGCGAGTCGTCTAGTCGAGCTCCATCACAGAATCATGAGCAGCTCCTAGAGGGCAAGACTCCACAGAGTGAAAGTCTACACGTTGTGCTTCAACCAGACAGAGAAGAAGAGCCTGCGTTGACTTCCCGGCAACCCATCGGCTATCCCTGGCTGATGGCAGGAACGCCGCACGATTCACCGGGCACCTGTACGCCATCGCTGGATTCCATGATGGTATTTTTGCTGAAACCCCGTAGTGCTCATGAGCAAAATCTACTTTATCGAGTGATACCGACGCACCGTGATGAGGGTCAAGTTGTTAGTTGCCTCTGAAGCTCGGAGGTGGCAGGTTCGCTAACACAATTTGTGTGGTGTGATCCTGAGTCAAGATTCTTGACGCCAACGATTTGAAGCCGTAGGATTTCAGTTCCGTTCCGCCCTGTGTGGTATGCGCTCAACAGGCTTCAGTGGCCCACACTGACTGTGGTCTCCGCCATCTTCGCTTTCGTACAGCGAGGTTGATGTGGTCGCGCCAACATCCGTTTGACAAACTTTTTGAAAGCCTACAACCCGGTGGAGTTAAATTATCTGCTTCACTCGTAGAGATCGTTTGTTGACGGGCAATTCGTGGCAGCACTCACGCAACAAACAAGAGTATACTGTTGTCAACGATGACAGAGGATTAGTGCACTGTCGAGTGATATCGCGCTGTCCAAAACGATAATGCTATGATCGACCGTGCAACACAAAATTTGACCTTGAAGTCGACGCCATTTCGAAGCACTTTGAAGCGCTCAACTCGGTGGAGTTCACGGCCGCTACAAGCGACGTACCCGACGCTGCACCCTTTCGTCCCGGCCTTGAGCTGCGGCAGGAATTGATCGCCAGGATTTGCCTGTCACTGAGGATTACTCGCTCGTTTCACCTCTACACCTGTTTGCCTTGTTTCTCGCCGAGATTGCTGCCTTTGCCTGTGTTGCAGGAACGCCCTCGCTCAACAACTTGACCATCGGATCTCTTCAACAAGCACTCGAGAGCTTTTTGTCCCCGCAGACAAGCCCGTCGAAAGCTGTGCTTCTTTACCACTGAACTGAGTGCGAGATCTCTTCACGAACCTTGGTCAAGGTGACAATGACGGCGAACATGGTGTCGTAAGTTTACGACTCGGTAACGAGTCAATCGCACGGCAATCAAATGGAACTAATACTCATTTGCATAAATTCAATATCTATCTACACAAGAGCTCCACGCCTTAGCCACGAGTCTACCAGTTGAGCTTGTCGATGGCCACATTCCGTGCAGGAAGCGACTTGGCCTCCAGCAAACACGAGAGACAGAAGAGCATCGACTTCTGCAGTACTTCACTGCCAAGACCCACGCAGATCTTCTTGCTCACTGAGCACTTGCTACAGAGCACGCGACGGCAGATTTGGCACGTGCCGCCACGCTGCAACACCAACGTGCTGAACTTGCTCAGGCTGCGCGTGCAGTTGGCGCAGTGGCTGGTCGTCGTCATGCGGCCCAGCACGCTGCCGGTGCCGGGGCGCACCTGTCGCGTGGCCTGCTTCATCATCCACGTGAGCTTGTGACCGTTGGCGCACTCCATACTGGTGGCAAGGGCCATGAGCTTCTCCGCGTACGCGGCCGCCGCCACGTTGACAGGCAGGTCGCCGTCCATCTCGAGGAACGCACGCGAGAACATCTCGACCGTGCTGTGGCGTGACGTACTCGTCTGCGTCATGTTACCGAACGTCTGGCAGCCGGACATGTTGCCACGGATGGTGTTCGGCGGGCGCGGTAGATTGATGAAGTCGGATACATCGACGGACTGACGGATGCCGTACGCCACGACCTCGCCCTTGGCGTCCGTCGTGAGACCGGATCCCTCGAGGAACACGAAGTCGCGGGCCTGACTGAAACGGCCGTACGACTGCAACCCCCACTTGAGGCCGATGAAGTTGAGTGGGTCCTGGGGTGTCGGGCGCACCAGCACCGCAAGAAGACGCGCGTCTTCCAGCTCCGTGCCCAGGTACGACTCGCGCATCTTGGCGTTCATCTCCGTGTCGGCCAGCATACCCAACGCCGCGTCCTCCGCCGTTCCGTCAATGACGCCGGAGATGACGACGGCGGGCGGTCGGGCCGACTTCTTCTGTTTGCGGTACTGGTTTTCGCTACCTGATGAGGTGGACGACACGAGGCTGGCAATCTTGTCCATGGTTGAACGCTGCGAGCTGGAGTTTGAGGACGAAGATCTAGAGACCACGTCGGCCGTATCGGCCCGTGAATCCGTGTGCTCCGCGACGCCGTGCAGCGCGCGACGCGAACGGTACGCGCGGACGTCGTCCATGGTTTTGACGAGCTTCCAGGCGGACGTGTCAAGTTGACGTCCGCCCGCTGCAAAGGCACTGCGCAGTTCGAGCGTGTTTTGCACGACTGCATCCACCTCGGCAAGCAGAGCCACCCTGCGTTCGGGGGTGATCTCGAACGGAGGTAGATCCACCTCTTTGGCGTTAAACTTGGGCATGCTGACAAACACTTGCCGACGACGCGCAAATTCTTCAAGTGAGGGCTATCCTACTGACTGCTGACTGGTTGCAGGCGACGGTGGTGCCTCTAAAGAGTTTGCTGAATAGCATCAACACTTCTCCAGCCTCGAGTCCAGGTGGAAAGCGCTGGTTGGCACATCGATCGTCTCTATCTTGCCTGCGTGAGATGTGCGCCGATACAGAAGTTTCTTTCAATATGCAAAGTGAATCATGGATATCAATGCTGAAGGTTCATTTATTATAGAAGAACTTTCACATACAAAATTTGATGTAGGTTTGTTATTGAACGAAGTATATAAAATAACAAGGGACTGATTATACCGAGATGGAGTTCGGTATCATTTGCATGTCAGTGACTTGAGCGCACCGGCCACGCCCCGATGTGCAACGCAGCGCTGCAACACATGTCAAGCTTGAGAATTGGTGGAGTTCTGGACGTTGGAACGCCGATCAACAGCGACTCAAAGCAGTCGAAGACGAGAATTTTGAGTGATTTCTTTGAGAAAAATGTATCATAACTGGACGTCACGTTTGAAATCGAGAATGTACATGTACTTCCAGCTCGATAGTACACCAACGCCATCGAATATCTGATACCTGTCGTAGCGTTGGATGAACACTGTCGGCGTGAGCTTGCGCTGGTAACTCGGTACAGATACAGCAGTGTACCGTTACCAAACAACCAGCATTTCAGCTGGCTTGGGGCTAATGGTGGACAAATGAGCATCTGCTGCCTGCTACCCTTGCTCACACGTAAGTTCTTGAAAACTTGACTCCGCAGCGAGCATCTGACAGGTTCCTCTCGGTCAAAAAGATTTGGATAATGCCTTCGGGTCCTCGTGGCTTCACATTCTGACTCGAATGCAGTAGGGTATTCATGTAGTCAGCACGAACGTCCAGCAATCTTGAATTCAACGTTGTTCGATCACTGAAGTTCGCAATCTTCCACACCGAGTCCTTGACTTTGGTAGAAGAGCCCACACGTCAGGATATTGTTGTAAAGGATCCGGCAGCGTCTTCAAGTTGGTCGATGAGGAAGATATCCGCTAGAAATTAATCCCGTTGTACCATGCATTAAGTAAATAGCGCGTTGCTCGAAAGTCTTCCAGGCATGGTCATTCATTTGCCAAGCTTTGGTTTCGGCTCAATTCGACAGGCCGATTACTTGCCAGCACGGTCCGGAAATTAATCGGAGCGTTTAGTGCCAGCAGGCAACGAGCCAACAAGCAAGCGAGCTTCCATGTCGTCATTTCGATTGTAGGTCTCGATTCTCCAAGTTTTCGTCATTTTTGCAATAATGCATGATGTTTGTCATCACCTACACACGGAGTCTGCTGCAGTTTATCTAACAGACGGGAACATTGTGGTGTGCAAACCGAGCGGAAGGTCACTTTTAGCGGACTGTATTCACCTTTGGTGTGTTGTGCTTCTTTCGCGACGCTCTCTTCCTTTTAGCGTTTACACTGTAAACTTTACAATATCAATAGGCACATGCTGACCACAAGGTTTGCAATGCCCATGCTGCACGGCACTTCTCACCAGTGCATCCATGAAACTTATCCATTTCGTAAGTACATTGTGCAAGACGTTATCTTTTTCCATTGCCATGAAATTCATATCTACCTAGGAACAGCCACGGGACGACTAGTATTTACTCACGTGACGATCCCACGAGGTCAATGTACTTCGTCACAGCAGCTTGTATAGCCCATTCATTGAGAGCTACACTCTTTTCAGTCTAACTACGGATGGACATATCTACCACTTCTGCTGGTCCACAGCCACTTCACGAGCCGAGATATGCTTCGCTTCCAGAAGACACTCAAGGCAGAAGAGCATAGACTTCTGCATCACCTCGTTGCCGATACCGATCGAGATCTTCTTGTACACCGAACACTTGCCACAGTACGAGCGCCGGCAGACCTGGCACGTGCCCCCGCGTGACAGCAACAGGTTGGTGAGTTTGTTGAGACTACGCGTGCAGTTGGCGCAGTGGCTGCTCGTGCCGTGGACGCTCGTGCCCGGACGAGCCTGACGGGAAGACTGCCGCATCATCCAAGTAAGTTTGTAGGCGGTCGCGCACTCCATAGTGTTTACGAGCGCCATGAGCTTATCAGCGAACGCCGAGGCCGCGACATTCACTGGCACGTCGCCGTCCAGCTGCAAGAAAGCTCGAGAGAACATTTCCACCGAGTGGTGACGTGAGCCAGCAACGGGGACGCCGCTGTTAGCGAAGGTCTGACACACGGACAGGTGACCGCGAAGCACATCTTGAGAACGCGGCAGCGTCAGCACGTCCGAGAGATCCGTCGACTGGCGAATACCGTAGCTGATCATCTCGCCGCGCGAGTCCTTGGTGATACCTGTGGACTCCAAAAACACGAAGTCACGCGGCTGGCTGAAGCGGCCGTACGTCTGACGGCCCCACTTGATGCCGATGAACGTGAACGGGTTCTCTGGTGTCGGTCGGGCTAACACGAACAGCAAACGGGAGTCCTCGAGCTCCGTGCCCAGGTACGACTCGCGCATCTTGCAGTGCTGTTCGGAATCGGCCAGCATACCCAAAACGGCATCTTCGGCCGTGCCGTCGACGGTACCGGACAGCACGACGGCGGGCGGACGCGCGGTCTTCTTGGCACGGAAACGGTCGCTGTCGTTAGAAGAAGTGGTGGAAGCAGTGAGCTTGTTCATGGTCGTTCGAGAGCTGTTGGACGACGACGACGAAAGCGCGTCCGACGTCTCGGTGCGCGTCTCGGACGGATCCACGCCGTGCAACGCGCGACGCGAACGGTAGGCACGCACGTCGTCCTTGGTCCTAACGAGCTTCCACGCCGACGTGTCGAGCTGACGGCCGCCGGCTGCGAAAGCCGATCGCAGCTCGAGCGTGTTCTGAACCACCGCCTCAACCTCTGCGATCAACGCAGCCTGGCGCTCCGGACTCAACTTGAGCTCCGGCAGTGCCACATCATGCACGTTAAACTTGGCCATCGTTCAAAGTGACCGAACCACTTGCGGCCTTTGCGTCGTTTGCGTAAATGAAGACGACGACGACGAAGTGCGAGCACGGAGGGCTTTTTTGCGTACGACCGGCGTGGCTCCCATCGATCGCCCTTATCTCGTTGCGGCACTATGGACAGGACCAACGTGCGCACTGTCTGCATTGCGCAATGGAACCAAACATGCCTTTGGGACGGCAAACCGGCGTCGGTGGTGGTGCCATCATTGGTGTTCACGGAATAAGACGTGATAGTTGTGTCGGCATCATCCGGAACGGAAGCGCGTAGAGAGATTCATCTACTTATTCTTTGATTAAGTGTCTAAGATCTGGCAGGACGTGTGACCGGAACTTGACACAAGTTTATCTTCAACGACGACAGCGGAAAACAACGGATTGCAGTCGAAACTTCGGCGTTTACCATTGCATGGCGCGAGATGCATGTACCTCGGCTTGGGACTGCTTTGGCTGTTCAGTGTGGCCAAACTGTTGTACACGTGCACTCATGTGGGTGCGTACGCCACTGAGTTTGTCGCCAGCGATGCCATCCTTGACGCCTAAGAAATTCGTGTTCAATGTCCGCTGTGGTCGATCGCTCCTCGTCTCCACGTTTGTAAAAGCTGCCTTAGTGTACCTGACAGTGCGATGCAAAGAAGTATTTGTTGCGATCGTACACTGGGGCTCGTTTCAAGCTGGAATCCAGGTTCAAGACGAGCATGGAGCACTTGGATCTCCATTCTTTGCGAAGACGAAGATGCTGCCGCGTGACGTCTCTGTCGACTGTCGTGACCTCGCTTGGATAGACTCGTGGCGACTGACGGATAACAGGCTGAAAGGCTCTCAAGTTGACAGTCTCAACTTCCTCGAGTGCTTCACTATCCATCGCGGCTGGATCCGATGCTTCTTCCAGAGCCGTCGTCCGCCGTCCCGTGCCGCTTGTCTGGAGCTCAAGCACTTCGTTTCGAAGGACGCGTTGCTCTTGGTCCTGTTTCTCTCACGCTTTCCCATGGTGTCTCTAACTCACAAATGCGCGATGTCAGAACAAAGCCCGAGCGCGTTGAAGACAACTCCGTGATGGCGGCGCGCTCAAGTTGAGTTGAGCCATCGAAAATGCCCGCAATCGACCCAGCTATCCAGCGCAGTCCGCTCTTGTCGTCGCCTTCTCGACGATTGATTCGGAGCCTCTCCCAAGTGTAGAACCTACACTGCAGATGTACTGCAGAGCTGCAGAACGTGCCTACACGTACTAAATAATACTTCAAGTATGCGTATTGTCAGTGTTGATGCGAACTGCTCACGCTCAATGTGGCGATGCACTGCCGCCTCTCCAATTACAGGCTTCGTCTTCACCAGCTTTTATCGCGTCGACAAGTGTTTTGTGTGTCGTGTAGGGCGGAATGGTGTGCCGCTTTACAATGAAACACCGTCGCGTTGCTGCGTGTTGCAAACGATCGCCGAGCGTTGGAAAATTGAAACTCGGTGAGACAGAGTCGCAACGCGGTGAAGCGACCCACCGAACTCGCTATATTTTGTGCGCTGGGCCTCTGGGTTGTACAACAATGGCAAGCATTTCCAGCGTTAGGAAGCAAGCGAATCACCCGCATTTCTCCGAGTATCTTGCGTTCAAGTGATCGAACATCAACAGCAGAACAGACTCGGACTGCACAGCGCGGTGAGCCATCTCTCGGTGTGGTCTTCAATCCCTGGTGAGCCCACGCTGGCTGACGCCTGTATCTTGCGGTGCCCGCGTGACGAACACAAACTGCAGGCCTCCAGCAGAGCTCGAGGGCAACATCTCGCCCTTTCCGTTGCCGCAACATACCACTTCAACTGAGAAGTGGTGTACATCAAATTAATAAAGCAACTTAAGCTCCAAAAGTAGAAGTTATCAACAAAATTGCCATTATTCACGAAACCAAACGTAAAAATGTAAATTCCATTGTGCGGGTCTATAGCACCAGCGGGTTCATTCCTTCACGTCTGCAACATGCTGCGCAGTCTTGTGAGCGGCACGCGGACGCGCCACCGAGTGCTCCAGCAGGCTCGTCGCTTCAGTCAGACACCTGCCACTCCGTTACTGAAAGCTCACACGAAGGCGGTGCGTCCCAGCGCTGCAATCAGCTTGAGTTCGAAGGGCAGGTACATGTAGCAAAGCCTATTTAACTTGTCTGACAATTTTTTCTAACATACCTGTTATATCTGGCATGTAACATCGAAGGGCTCTGGAGCTGGCGGAGACGCAGCGAACGCGGCACCGAGTCACTAACAGCAATGTACTGAGTTACTGGAAGGCAGCAGCGTTGGCAGTCACTGCTTGTGGCACTCTGGGGCTGCATACGGCATCCTGTGCCTCCAACACGAGCGACGGCAAGGACGAGGATCCAGTGGAGAAGGCCAAGAAAATGGTACAGGATTTATCTACCATCGCCATTGCAAAACTTGCCGAACTGCTGCCTGAGGATTACAGTAATCTACAGCAGAAAGTGGACGAGTTCCTGGCCTCTGGCAAAGCTGGCCAGATCTCCTGGGGCTTCTGCATGGGCGCGTGTTCGGGCTTCGCTCTGAAAAAAGTATCCAAGCTGGGAGCTGTGGCAATTGGCTCGTTGTTCGTGCTGCTGCAATGCGCGAGTTATTCCGGCTATGTGGACGTCGACTACAAGAAATTGGAGCGGGATTTCAAGAGTTATCTGGACATTAACAAGGTATTGCGAGGATGGGAGGTTTGGTGGAGAAGGGAGACTGATATTATACTTGATTTTTGTAGGATGGCGTGTTTGATACGAAGGACGTGGACTCCATGTACAAGTCGGTGATGAAAGTGCTGGAGTTCAGTCTCCCTGCTGGCAGTGGGTTCGCCGCGGGGTTTATTCTAGGGTTTCGCTCAGGATAAACCCTAGTTTTAGCTGTCAAAGTTGAGTAGTGGTGGGAAAAGTACTATTTTTTTACATTAAGCAGTGACTCTCAACTTGTATTACTATTTTGCAGCCAGCGGTGATGGCGTTGTCGTGTATACAGGGCTGAGGATCTCGATGCACACGGTTATATCGTCGGAGATCGAGTCGTCCACGAGCGGGTGTGTGTGTGGATCGTAGAGCCGATAAACGAGTAACGTGAACACGTTGATCGTCAAGAAGAGGGCGTTCAAAGACATGATAAACGGGTTCGTGATCAAGACTCCGTACGTGAGCCAGAGGAGGTTGCTTGCCAGTCCAGCAATCACCATGTGCACGTTGATGAAGACTGCAGACTTGTGTTTGAGGACTTGGAACAATTTCTCCATTGGTGCGCCGTACAGAAACACTCCTCCGCAATCGGCAATCAGCCCCATTGTAGTGTTGATACTTGAAGTGGACTGACCCGTGTACCCCAGACTACCGACGATGGCGTAGATGGTAACGAAAGCAACGATAGTGAGAACGGCAGCCAGAACGCGAAACACGCATTGTTTGTCCGTTGAATAATAGCAGTAGATCGACAGATAGACGATGGCACAGCATTCTCCGTACAGGAAACAGGAAACCAGTGGGAAGTAGTTTTTGGTGAGGTAGCCGTAGACCATCCTGCCGAAAAAAAGTCGTCAGTTTAGCTTTTACTTACAATAAACGATGGCAAGCTTACCAAATGTGTGAACTGCCAAGTAGTGAAGCTAGAGGGACAACGGAAGTCACTCCGACGTGCTTCTGTTTGTAAATACGGTGCATGAGCAACGATGGACTGGACGCCAACCCAATTGTTGCCACTCCAGCGAGAACTCGAAAAACCAGAATTGCGAAATCCTTGGACATTGCGTACGACCGCTTTCAAGTAAAATGAGGAATGGAAATCGATCACAACCTCATACTACTCGCCCTTGTTGGGTAAGTTTTGTACACTTCCAAACACTTTGTTCACTTTCAGACATGATGCATCCTAACAATTTGATTTCGATGCAGGTTGTCGTAACATCCATTACTACAAAAGACAGTGAACTTGACGTGTACTCAACATCCATGAGACATAAATGAAAAACACCAAGTGCTTATTAGACGAAGCAAAAAAAACAAAAACCTAGCGCTCGGTTCCTCAAACGTGACGCCGAATATCCACGCGTCTAAGTCCGCACATCTCGGTTCTTACAGGTCGACCTCGTTGTTGCGGCGGTTCTCGTGCTGCACGACCGTGTGGGTGCGTTGCATCTGGTTGCCCTGAGGCTGCAGCCCACGCAGCGGTCGGTTGTTGTAGTAGTGGGCGTTGGACGGAGTCTCCTGCGCATACTGACGAGGGTCCTGCATCTTCGGAGTCGTGTCGTCTCCCAGTACAGCCATGGAGCCTCCACGACTCTGGTTGTTGTTGTAGTACTGCGGCTCGCCACCCAGAGCGAAGAAAGCCTCCGAACCTTCACGAGCGTTGGTCGTCTGCACCGTCACCGTCTTGTCGTCCGCTCCGTCGCGCTTGAGCTTCCACGTCCGGTAGAAAATGTACACTTGACGGATCATCAGACACACGAGCACGAGTACTTGAAGACCGACGATAGCGAAGGCCACACCCTCTCGTAGATCGTCCGGGATGCTCTCCGTGAAGCTCGTCGCACTGGAGAGCAAGAAGAAACTGAGGAAAAGAGCCGAGATCTTGATGATAATGACAAAACTCGACGTCTTCTGCACGAACGCAGTCGGGTATGGCTGCTTGATCTCCAAGTACAATAGGAAGGCAATGTGGAACGCAATGAGCACAATAATCTGCCACAAACCTTCGATCCAGACCATACCGGTGGTCATACCACACAGCAGAGCCAGCAGCAGCTTAGGTGCGAAGAAGAAGCGACCTTCGAAGCTGTGCTCGTCGTACAGCGGACCGTATCGAGCGTGGAACTTCTTGTCGAAATGGTCCTTTGTACCCAAATCTCGCAGCTCTTCCTCGTTGTTCTTGATGACCAAAACACCGTACAGAATGGTGCCGAACGCTAGTACTAGCAGAGTGAGGATAGCCAGGAAGAAACTCACGTCGATCGAGTCGTGGTCGATGCAGTAGCAGATCTGGTACATGGCAGTAGCGCCGACCACATACTCGGACAGAATGAGGATCATCATGAGCACTCCGATGGCTTTATCCAGCCATTTCTTACTGAAGGTGGGGAAATCCTGCACGAAGAAGTAGCAGACGCCCATAGCGATGGCATAGGCTCCGAACAGGACGGCCACCATGCAGGCAATACCGGCCACAGCCAAGTAGAACAACATGTCAGCGTCTACGCCGATAAGAGACGCGTACTTCTCCATACCCTGCACGCCCGTAGTCGTAGAAGAAGATCCCGAACCAGAGCTACCACTTGAGCTGCTACCGGTAAGCAGACGACGCGATTGACCCACGTTACTCGACGATCCCGAACCGGAACTGGTCGAGTTCGAGTCGTCCGAAGACGACGCGTTGTTCTTGCCGAACGGAAGGAAGTTAAAGGCAGCCGGAGCCATCTTTTTGCCCATGTTTTCCATGAATCGAGGTCGAGCGTCCACGTTCATCTGGTTGAGCATGATGGAGAATTGACAGATATCCACAGCAGCCATAGTGATGCCCACACTGGCTGCGGCCGACACTCCGGAAGCCACACCGGCTGAGGTGCCTCCGACAACGCCACTAGCTACCGACATGACTCCACCGGCAACCACCGAGACTGTAGCGGCACTGCTACCGATGGTAGTTGAGGCGATACCGGCCTTGTCGACGGTGGACTTGGCCGTACCGTCAGCCCAGTGGTCCGAGTCTTCCAGTCCCTTATTGGCCGGCACCGAGTACTGCGAGTTGGATGTCGTGCCGGCACCACCGGCACCGGACGACGGTGTCGAGCTGGTCACACCGGCACATTGACAGGAACCGAAGGAGTTGTCACTAGTGTAGTCACACTCAGTAGTAGCAGCGAACGTGAGGTTCGAGAACGGCTGCTGCACTGCATCCGCGACCGACGCGGCTGCCTGTGTGCCGGCGTAGCTCATGAGGGTAAGGAAATCCAGACCGGCGTAAATGTCCGAGTTGATACCGTCCGACGCCGTGTAGTCCCACGTGCCGTTGTTACAGGCCGGGAACCGGCACACCGACATGCACGTGGCCAAGTCTGAGATCTCGGTGCCGGACGATGTGCCGGAGTAGATCAAACACTCGGTGGACGCCGCAGCGGACGCCACGTCCAGTTCGGTACCTCCACAGGTCAGGCCCATTGTGGACCACGCGCTGTAAAAAGTAGAGTCGCAACTAAACTCGATGGTCGTGGTGCCTGAAGTGCTGTTAGTTCCGACCACACCTGCCGATCCGGCCATGGACGACGAGCCCGTCGTGGTCGTCGGTGCCGTCGTTGCAGTTGTTGTGGTACCGGTACCCGTACTTGGCGTCTTAGTAGTCGACGTTGGTGTCTTGGCCGTCGTCGGCGTGGCTGTCGTCGCCGACGGCGCAGTGGTGGTCGTCGTGGTCGCACCCGTCGAGCCGGAAGCCTCCGCCGACACATCCGCCGTCACTCCGGCAGCACCGGCAGTCGGCGTGGCTCCACCCGCCTCGCCGGCCTCACCCATGAGACGACGGCCATCGTCCGATCCAATGGTTGTCGCCGTGGACGGAGCGGTCGTAGCCAACGGAGTGTCTCCCGATTCGTCTGAAGTGGTCGACCCGGTCGACGTACTCGGCGTCTTTGTCGTCGCTGAAGGGGTAGTGGTCGCCGGGGTTTTCGTGGTGGACGCTGGTGTCTTAGTAGTGGACGTCGGTGTTTTGGTGGTGGGCGTAGGAGCGGACGAGCCGGAAGTGTCCGAAGAAGTGTCCTGATTCTCCTTACTCGACCCGGTATCGGCTGACGCGCTCGAGCTGTCGGAACCGACTCCGACCGTGCCCGGACGGTCATCCGACCCGTCGCCGACACTGCCGGACATGTCGGAAGACTTGTCGGTCTCGTCGTCCGAGTCACTGCCGGAAGACGTCGTCGACGTCGTGGTGGTCACGCTGCTTGGTAGGTTGGTGGCCGTCGGCATCGAGTACCGAAACACACACGGCACGGAACCGGCACTGGCCGAAATGGTGCCGCTGCCGGACGACGCCGACACCGGTGACGTCGTCTGGGTAGTCTGAGTAGTCTGGGTGGTAGTCTGCGCTGCTGCGACAGTCCACGCCGAGGCGGCGGCAATTGCCGCTGCATACACTCGCATTTTTGATGCCTTCTGGTGTTGCACCTAACGTGACGCTTCGATACTCCGCGCAAAACCTGTTGCTGATCCTGCGTGGGTGGGGGGGAAATCTGGGTGTCCTGTCGCTATAGGCTAATACACACACACTCGCTCGCGCCAGCCAAATAGTCGACGCTCGCTCGCTGCTTTGGTTTCCTGTTGCGAGTTCCCTTTTGCCTGCCTGTGGCTGTCTCTACAGAGCGGTGCGATTGACAGAGTGGTGAGAGCCAGCGTCGGCAGAGGATAGTGTGTAAGATAGGCGCTCTCTCTGTAGGAGTAGGGAAAACGCTGGTGCCCACAAAACGCCATGTCAACTGGTCGGAGCAACAGACCAATCAGCACTCGTGAGTTCTGACTGGATCGATTTTCTTGGTCTCAGTAAATCGCTGCAACTCCATCTCTGATAATACACCTTTGCAGTGTGCCAGTTTGCTTTTTTCCAAACGACAACTTGCTTGTCAATCACGGCTGTGGTGGAGATATGAAGGCGTAATGGTTGCGATACGGATTTGTACACTGCGACGCGAGCAACAGCATGGAGCCAAAGGAGCCAGCGTCGCAAGTGCAAAGGCTCTTCACTAAAGAATACAATCTGTATCGCTAAAACGGAGGGATCGGGCGCTAAAACCTTGAATTCCTAGAACCTCTACGCACGCCACACAAGCGAATAGTCCGGGCAATATGACGATCACAAAGGCTTCGGAATTGGTGGCGCCGGAAAGGTGCGTGCGGGGTGCATACACAAAGGATGCAGCAATGAACGCGGCAAAGTGAGTTTCAGAGCGGATGCCGCCACCTTTGGCAACGTTGCCACCACCGCTGCTTCTTGTCATTCTTGGCATTCTTGTGGGCCGTTATGGCAGGAATGAACCTAGAAACCACCTGTCGATTTCTGGTCTCCCCTTCACGACAGCACAATCCACTCCCGACTTGCTGCAAGTCTTGCGTGGTAAACCGTCGCACAGTTGGTTTCGTCACAATTGCGAGGCAGTTTTGGTGCGCGTTTGCCAGCTACAGGCTGGAGTCCAAACCTATTGCAATTTATGGCAAGTGGCAACAAATATCTGTCAGTGGACCTTGCCATAAGGCCATAAGTTGAAAAGTGCTACTTCAGTATTTACTTTACAGTCGGATCGGCAAATCGATTGATATGTGAATCTTTGGTTGAAACGCCCTGGTGGACAGTAAACAAGCTTGCCTCTTCGAAGAGCACAACAATTTCGCCCTGCTCAGCTTTGTCGAGCTCAATACTAGAGTGAAGACACGCGTTTCGTGTAGGTGAGTGTCTCCTCTGAATTGAGAGCGAAAGGAGATACGATCGGACGGACAGCACATCGTAACTTGAAGCAAGCAACTTGAGTTTTTCACACGTCACGGATTTTTTCGATTCTCGTGCGAGATGACCTCCTCGCTCGAACGAAAGCGTCCACTTGCAATTGTGCAGTAGACCTATGATCATGTTCACAGTACTCTTCGTCTAGTGATCTCTTGCCCTTAGCGTTCATCGACACACTTGAGGCCATCATGCAAGCGTGGCGCATTTGACCGACTCAAAGTTCAGCCACGATGACCCCACCGTGCGACAATTACTCCTTCATCTAGACATACTATACCTTGGCAATTCCGGTGCAATTCCCGTATCGTTTGCTTCTTTCCACATATTCTTTTGCATGCGGCATGCAGCTTGTTCGCTGCGAGAACCCTGAAATACATCACCGCATAGCTTAGTACATTAACATGTAGTGCCTCAGCGTTGGATACGGCTTCGACAATACGTACGTCAAATATAATCATTCTCGTCATGCCATCCGATGCTGATACAGCATTAGCGTCGTAATCTCACAGTGAGATTTTCACTGCATAAAAAGAAGTTATTAGGCCACGACGACGGACCACCGTCACGTTGGGCTCAAGTGTGGATTAGCCATTTCACTCGACCAGGGGCATTCCCGGGGCTTCAGCGTGGCTGGTGCAGACGGCACTGGCACGGAGATCCACGCTTTGAATGCATATCTGAAGTCCTTCACCTTGTTGCAGAGAATCTCGAGTCATTTGCGCAATTTCCCTAGGGCCATCACTATCGCGCGCCCATAAAAACTAATTGATGATGAATGGTCTGAAGAAGATACTTCATGGTAGACTTCAAGTAACGATGTAGCCATTTAGTCACTTCAACTTAGAATGCTCGAGGACAATTGGAATAGATACTCATTCCCGCGGTTTACTCATAAGCAGTAGTAGACGCTTCTTCACGTCCATGATGTCTACCAATTGAAGTATATCATCCCGGTTATATAATGAAATCGTAGGCAATCAAGTCCGACATGGCATCACAGCATTCGATCTTAGCAACTGTCAGCTCGCTTTCGTCCAAGACGCAGTACACACAAGACATGCGCTTCCGTTTCTACAGCAGTCGACTACGATTCGTGGCCCACGAGTGGTTTTGCAATGGTCTCACGCCGCAAGGATGCTGCGTTTCTTTCTTCGCAACGTTATCGGATGCGTCATCGTTGCGGAATCCTGAATCGGCTGCTTCTGCGCTGGGAAGATTTCTCCCCTACGTTGTTAACACTGCAGTCGCGTTCTGAATTTCTCATGGTTACATTGATTTAGACAACCGTATCGTCAGTCTATTTCTCTGGTTTGTTGGTCACCCGTTCCGTCTTGGCCTTCAGCTGGGATTGGCTTCAATTCGCTGATGTTCATGACTGCGATCGTCAAACTTAGTGCAGACAACTCCTACACACGTGCTGGTTTGTTCGATATCAATATCAATTGCCATTTCCAGTACGACACTCAGGTAGTCGAAGAGGATTTCCGTGAAGTAGAATCCGAATGGATTCTACAAAAAAAAAAAAAAAACTTTTTTGTCAAAAAGAACCTTACCGCTACAATCGTGTGGTCCACAGTGCTCCTCGTCGCGTCCGCTCGCTGGCATAGCTCATGTGGTTGGCTGCGATCCGGAATTCCGTCTCAACTTCATCTCGAGCTTCCGCTTCTCGCTTTTTATCCTTCTGCAGCGTCACAATGTCTTCCCAAACTGAGATCAAGTGGGTCGGCGCTCGTCCCGACGACCTGCACCACCACTTGCGTGACGGTGATGCTGCTCTAAGCCGCACGGTGACGCACGTGACGTCCCAGTTCGCACGCTGCATCGTGATGCCCAACTTGGTGCCGCCCGTGACCACCACGGAGCAAGCTTTGGCCTACCGCGAGCGCATCATGGCTCACGTTCCCGAAGAGAAGCGCGAGCCTAACAGTCCCAACGGCTTCGAGCCTTTAATGACGCTCTACATGACGGACGGCACGACCGCCGACGAGATCCGTCGCGCCGCCGAAACCAAGAAAATCTTTGCTGTTAAGCTCTATCCCGGTACGTGTAGCCTCATACTAACCATCATATACCATCTGACGGTACTTATACTATCATAGCGGGAGCTACGACCAACTCGGACTCTGGAGTGACCAAGATCGACAACATTTACCCGGCACTTGAAGCCATGGCCGACGTCGGGATGCCGCTGCTAGTACACGGTGAAGTAACCGACCCATCGGTGGATCTATTCGACCGCGAAGCCACGTTCGTAGAGCAGGTGATCAAGCCTTTGGTGGCCAAGTTCCCGCAACTTAAGGTCGTGATGGAGCACATTACCACCAAAGAAGCGGCCGAGTTCGTCACCAACGCGCCAGCTAATGTTGCTGCAACCATCACCCCGCAACATTTGCTGTACAACCGCAACGCAATCTTCCAAGGTGGTCTCCGCCCACACAAGTACTGTCTGCCTGTACTGAAGCGAGAGACGCACCGTCAAGCTCTGCTCCAGGCTGTTGCCAGTGGCAGCAAGAAGTTTTTCCTCGGTACAGACAGCGCTCCACACGTGTCTTCCAAGAAGGAATCAGGCTGTGGATGTGCCGGTATCTACTCGGCTCACGCTGCTCTTGAACTGTACGCAGAAGCCTTCGAGTCCATTGGCAAACTGGACTTGCTGCGTGCCTTCGCGTGCGAGAACGGAGCCGATTTCTACGGCATCAAGCGCAATACTGTAGGCGAGACAGTCTTGAAGAAGGAGGACTGGACTGTGCCGGACAGCTACCCGTTCGACAACGGCGTGGTGGTCCCTCTTAAGGCCGGAGAGACCATCAGCTGGAAGCTACAGCAGTAAAAGTGTGTTAGGAAGCAGACGGAGTAGTGGTCTGTTCACGCAAGTCCAAGCTGGCGCGTTTCTCCCTTGTCTTCATGTCAAACACCGACGTTAGAATCCGACACGTTGGCTCATGAACTGCCGTTGAGTTTGGAGGAGAAGTGTGTCCATTTGAGTCTCCTTTCTTCTTGCCTGTTGTCATGACGCTGCCTCGTACGATCAGAGCAGTTAAGAAGCTCAAAAAGTCCGAAAAATCTCGAAACACTTGACTCACTCGATAGCACGACTTGCCCACGTTGTTGTCAGGCTGTAAAGGGTCTTCGATGACCAGCAAACCGTCACGTGATAGCGGTGGCGCTAGCATCAAGGGCGAGTTGGAGCGGGAGCGACCCACAGTAGGAGACAGAGAAGGAGACAGCGCAGGGGACATGGACCTCGCCATAGGAGACGTATCCACCGACAGCATCGTCGGCTCACCCCATGACACGACGGACACTTGATCCAGGTTCTGTCTGAAGTCGTTGCCGTAAAATTGCAGGAAATCCATGAGTAATTTGCCTAAAAGATAAGGCTTGGTCTCGTGTTCGTCGTCCTCGGATCCAGTCACAAACGACGGGAGGACAGCGCGTTTCGCTCTCTTCTTGTGCTTCTTCGTCTCGTTCTTCTTTGGTTGTTGCTTGGCTGAACATTGCTTGACGATTTCTTTCGCTATTAACTCTCCTTTGAGACACTGAGCTTCATACCGAGGATGCCAACGCGTGCTCGCAGCAGGCTTCAGCTCTTCCAGATCGTCGTCAAGAGTGAGCTTCTGGCCGTCGACCATCGAAATCAGAGCTCCTTGTTCTCGTAACACAAACACAACCATCAACAACAAACCGTAGGATGACAAGCCGCCAACGTACGGGTCGTTAAGGCCACGTTCCACCAGGAAATGTTTCAATACAAGCGTCAGCTCTCGCAGCCCGTAGAATGCACTTGCGAGGCCTTGTACTAACGTCACACTCGCCACGCCGTTATGGTGAATACCGTGCGGTTCATCGAACGTAATGTCGAATGGAATACGCAGCTCCACGCCGTCGATAGTCACTAAAACCACGACTTTTAGTAACGGGATTGACGCTCGTGTGATCGCGCTTACATCGACATAAGCAGATAACTCGCGAACATGATCAGCTAGCGCCTCCACGCACTGTTGACTGGTAAAATTAAACTCTTCTGTGGCCCCAAAGACCACCAGATCCACGTCGCTTGACTCTCCATGTAACCTCGTGGCAAACGAACCGTACCCTTCCACTTGTACGCAATGATTCCATAGCAATTCGATCTCTTCTGTCACCATAGCAATCGCCTTCTGCATCCACGGACGTTTGTCGCGTGCTTCTCGGCTGTGGTGGTTGTAAAAGTCCACGATCTCGTCATGTAAGACAACCTGCATCATCGCAGTCTGCTCTTCGTAGAGTCGCTGTAAATTACCGAACGATAAGCCTGGTCCATTGGCTCCTCCTTCAGCACGTTCCTCGTCCATTCGACGCTCTCGCTCCTTCTCCGTCGCTTGAATGACGCTGCGCCTCCACTCTAGTCGCTCTTCCCACTCTTTCTCTCTCGACATCCCATTAACGGGGCAATTAGCAAGATGTTCCGCTAGATTCTCGCGCGAACAGATCTCTTTACAACCCAGTACTGCGTTCGGACACACCACATCGTATGAATAAAAGTCCGTCGTCGTATCCTCCACCACTTGGTCCAGAGTATCCGGTACCTGGCGGTATACACAGCGTTCTAGATGTGACTCCAAGTCCTTCAACATGCAGCTAAATGTACATCCGAACCAGCTATTAGGACAGACTACCTCGTAGTCCTCGGAGAACCTCGAGATGGTGGACTGGAACCACTGGGTGTTCTTCATATTGTCCAGAAACATCTCTCGCATCATGGCTTCCTGTTCCTTCTCAATGGTGGCGATAGCCCATTGTCTTCTACGTTGGATCTCCTCCTCTTCTTCACTTTGGAGCTGCTTTAAGACGTTTAACCGTCGTGCTCGCTCCTTCTCAGCAGCTTCGATGACCCATTGTGTCCAATAGGCTCGTTCGGCCGCCTGCTGCTCCTGTTCTCCTCTAATAACGGCGCGCTCTTCAGGACTCAGCTCAGGGTGTCGAAAGAGTCTGGAAGTTGAAGGACGAGAGATCTGAGGCCTCGACTTTGAGGCAGGACTCGGCGTTCTGAGTGGACTGAAGAGCATCTCGGTCTCTGGAGCTAGAACTGGAGCCAATGGAGGCGTCACGAAGCTGTGGATGTGTGTGCTGAGCGGTGTGAAGGGCGCAGCAGCGGCGCAGAGGCCGGTGGACTCTGGTGTATCATGTAACGCTGATATAGGGGTTGATACAGTCGCATTTGGAGGCCGTTCGGGCGTTGTAGGCGCGTTTACAGCGCGAGAACTGGGTTTCTTCTTGGGTCGACGTTTGCGAGGACCCGAGTGGTTCTTGCGGGGCTTATCCTCGTCTGTGGCGTGCGCTGAGGCGTCCGGCATCCCGTGGCTCATCGCCCGCGTCGCTTTATGCTGCGGTCAACTTGATTGCCGTCTAATTGTGTGCTCGACATAAAATATTTTATGACGGAATCATATGTAGCATAAGAAAATCATAACGACAAGAAAGTGATGTGACCCACATGAACATCATGTAACTAACATCATATAGCAATATCTCGCGAGCCATGAAGGTCGACATCGATGGGTTGGAGGTGGTCTTCCCGTACGAGCGCATGTACTCGGAGCAGCTGCAGTATATGCGCGAGCTGAAACGTGCTTTAGATGCACAGGGTCACTGTATGTTGGAGATGCCCACGGGCACAGGCAAGACGGTGTCTCTGCTCTCCTTAGTCTTAGCGTACAAGGCCGCACATCCAACTGCAGGAAAGCTCATCTACTGCACTCGCACTGTCCCGGAGATGGCCAAATGTGTGGAGGAGATCAAGAAGCTCATCAAATATCGAGAGCAATACTACGGGGACAAGGCACAGGTCACAGCTGTGTGTCTAAGCTCCAGACGCAACATGTGTGTTCATCCTCGGGTCATGGCTCACGCTGACGGTGAAGATGTGGACGGCCAGTGCCGGAAAATGACGGCGTCTTGGGTCAGAGCCAGAGCTGCAAAGGCTCGAGAGACTGCGGCTGATGGAGACGTCACTATGTCGGAGGAACCGGTTAGAGAGGTGGAGACCTGCTCGTTCTACGAGAACTATGACGCCAGGAAGAGCAACGACACGGTGTTGCCACCTGGAGTCTACTCTGTAGACGACTTAAAGGAGCTTGGGGCGAAGAAAGGCTGGTGTCCCTATTTTCTGACGAGATATGTGGTCACATTCGCCGATGTGGTAGTGTACAACTACCAGTACATGCTTGATCCGAAGGTCAGTCAACTGGTATCCAGGAGTTTCGAGAAGGAGAGTATCGTGGTATTCGACGAGGCTCATAATATCGACAATGTGTGCATTGAAGCGCTTAGCGTCGATTTGGATCGACGCTCATTGGATAGAGCGTCCCGTAACTTGACAACTCTATCGAGTCAAGTGAACAAGCTAAAACAGGCCGACAAGTCGAGATTAGATGCAGAGTATCGCCGACTAGTGGAAGGTCTGAGGTCCAGCAACGCCGTGGTGGCTCCTAGTTACACTGATCCAGCCACGAACCAGCGGATTGACACCAGTAACGACATTATGATCGCTAACCCGGTCCTGCCGGATGATGTGCTGGATGAAGCCATCCCGGGTAATATCCGCCGTGCCGAACACTTTGTGGCCTTCATGCGTCGCCTTATTGAGTATTTGCGTCAACGCATCCGTGTGCGTCAAGTGGAATCCGAGACACCTCAAGCTTTCCTTCACCACCTGCATCAAGCGATCAATATGGAGATCAAACCAATGAAATTCTGCTACACGCGACTGAACTCGCTGCTACGTACACTGGAAGTGACGAATTTGGAGGAATATAATTCTTTAACGGACGTGGCAGACTTCGCGACGCTGGTGGCGACGTATGCCGAGGGTTTCATGCTGATTATTGAGCCGTTCGATAGCGCGTCAGGTGTGCATGACCCTGTGTTGCAACTCTCGTGTTTAGATGCGTCGCTGGCCATCCGACCAGTGTTTGAACGCTTCTCCAGCGTGGTTATCACGTCCGGAACGTTGTCTCCAATCGACTTATACCCTCGACTGCTGAACTTTAACCCTGTGATCCGCGAATCGCTGCCCATGTCGGTGTATCGCTCGAGTATTTGTCCATTGGTGATCACGCGTGGTAGCGACCAGATGCCAGTGAGCACCAAGTTCGACTTACGTGACGATCTCTCTGTGGTGCGCAATTACGGTACGCTACTGTTAGAGATGGCAGCGTGTACTCCTGATGGCATGGTGTGCTTCTTCCCGTCGTATCTCTATATGGAGAAGATCATTGGGCAGTGGGACTCGCTCGGTGTGCTCAAGCGTGTACTTACCAGTAAACTGCTCTTTATCGAGACCAAGGACATCGTGGAGACGACGCTGGCGCTGGATAACTACAAGAAAGCTTGTGACTGTGGCCGAGGAGCTATTTTCTTCTCTGTTGCGCGTGGTAAAGTGGCAGAAGGGATCGATTTCGACCGTCACTATGGACGTGCAGTGATTCTATTCGGTATCCCGTTCCAGTACACCCTATCGAATACGTTACGGGCTCGGTTAGAGTATCTGCGCTATACACATCAGATCCGTGAAGGCGATTTCCTCACGTTCGACGCGCTACGTCAAGCCGCTCAATGTGCTGGCCGAGTCCTTCGAAGCAAGACCGACTATGGCCTTGTTATCTTCGCTGACTCGCGTTACAACCGCGCTGATAAGCGCACCAAGTTACCGCCCTGGATCACACAGTTCCTTGTGGACTCGCACCTGAACTTGTCGGTGGATATGGCAGTGTTCATGGCCAAGAAGTACCTGTCGCTGATGGCTCAGCCAGTGGACGAGTCCACCAGCGTTAACTCCATTCTGCTAGACGCTGACGGAGTCGCTAAGTGGCTGGGCAAGCACCCTAAGGAAGACGAAAGCATGCAGTAAAAAACAGCACTTACAGTTACAGTCAGATTACAGTTTCCGTTTCCGTAAATCAATCGCTAATCAAGATAAGGGTGTTGGTATAGAACTCTCCATTTTTGGATTAGCCGTCAATTACAGAGCGAAAGAGGCCTGGATCCCTAAAGCAAGTACCTTAATTGCTTAGTTACGGGGGGCGTCCAACACAATGCCCTCGAACTTGGTCTGGAACCAGTTGATGGCGTCGTCCTTGGTCAGACGGTGCGGGTGGCCCACACGCGACTGCTGCATCTTACGGCGAGCCACACGGGCACCCGGGCGCTTGAGCACGACGAAGAAATCCATACCGTAAATGCCCGTGGACGGGTCGTACTTGATGCCCAAGTCAATGTGCTCCTGAATACCGAAACCGAAGTTGCCCGTCTCCGAGAAGTTCTTGCGCAGCAGCTCGTACTCCTTCACCTTAAGACCGCGGTCCAGGATCTCCTGAGCGAGCTCGCCACGGATGGTCACGTGGCACGAGATCTTTTCGTTACGACGGATACCGAAGGTACGGACCGTGTAGCGGGCTGTAGATCAACAACACAGTAAATGTTAGTATACTGCATATTGGAATTACGGCACCTTTTAGAGATTCCACACAGCCACAAAGTGGCTACACGCGCCTTTGCCGTCCGTTGAGACGGTCAAAGTACTGGACACCAACCTCCGAGATCATTGATGTGTGCGTGGTGTGGCACGGGCCCGATGTACTCAAAGACGAGCGCGATCGGGGATGAACCAGAGGCTCATGAAGAGCTCTCCAGCACCCGGAAAGGCCGTAAATTGGGTTAGACACACCCGCATGATGGCAGGTGGCCCGGGTAAGTAGCCCGTTAAGGCGGTTCTTTGCTTTTCTTTGGTCAAAAAAGCTTACCCTTGGAGTACACGGGCTTCTGGCCCGTGAGCTGCTCGAGCACACGAGCGGCACGGGTCAGCTTGTCACCAGACTCGCCGACGCAGCAGTTGATCACCAACTTGTCGACGTGGATGTCACGCATCGGGTTGTTGCTCTTGTCGCCGGCCTGGGGTTCGGTACCATTGGGTTAGTATTGCGAGGGTTACGATCAGGCAATTACACTCGGACGCACCATCTTAGCTTGTTGTTTTGGAGCTTTTGGAGAAGTACTGGCGATTGAGGTGCGACGTCGATTGGGCTGGTTGGCTGGAGCACCAACCAATACTCGACCTAAATCGCATATTCCGATTACTATGCTGCATAGATTGGAAGATATAATTCAACGGAATGTACATTTTTGTAGTTGCTGTAAACATTGTGTGGTGTAGATGCTTCTCTAAGTACGATAACTATTTTAGTTGAAGTTGTCATAGAAAGTATTGCTGCGATGGACGCACGAGGACCTCCGTTATCGTCAGTGTTACCACCACATTTCTCGATACTACCGAGTCCTCGAGTGTCTCCCCTTGCTGCCACTTCTCGATCATTTACTGGTGTCTGTCCCGACCCCATTCCAGGCTCCAGTCCGACTATCGCTGACATTTTCTTACCTCGACCAGTAGACCAGAAGCTGCAACATACCAGCAGTCAATTACGGCTTCGATTACAATGGGCCAGCGCGTTCAAGATGCAAATTCTAGTAGTACGCAACACCGTCGTATGTTGTTTCTGCGCTGGCGTGGCCAACGGCGCCTTCTACGTAGGCAACGTCTTTACGTTCAAGTCGTCGGTGGATCAGTCACTAAAAGAGTTCACGACGGCTATGTTGGTCTGGATGGCCATCACTTATGCTGTTATCATGTTAATCGCCCACGTACCAATACTGATGACCCAGAAATTCATCAAATATCCCAACAAACGACCAAGTTTCTGGTTTTGTGCAAGCAAGTTGATGAAAAAGTCTTACATCGCGTTTGCAGCATCACTTTCTGGAATGATCGCAGTGGGTATACTCGTGCAACATACACGGCTGATGCACGAATATTTCCGATTCAAAATGCACTTCTATCTCGCCGTGGTGAACAACCTCACCTTCACAGCTGGCCTCATGTTCGCAGTGAGACGGATATACTACGAAGAGACTTACCAAGGTCGAGATCGTCGCTCTGCCCAGAGTAAACACAGCTCTACAACTCGATCGAAAGCTTACAGACCACCAAAGTACCACACGCCAAGTTATTGGCGCGAGTATCGGAATCATCTCCCTAATGCTCTTACTATCGTTATCGCCGGAGGATACGTCCATATTGTCCTAATGTGGTGGCAACATGCTGGAGAACAGGCCTCCGTGATGACCTTTGCGGTCTTTGGTATCGTGCTCAAGCTTATACTTCAAGAAGTTGCGAGGCTTTACGTTCTCAAGAAGAAAATTCGCAGTACTCGAATCATGTGCCTTCTTGTGGGCATCCCGACCGTGTTGATTGACACCCAGTCTCGAATTATTCTACTTGGCACTCAAACAAATGCAGTTCTTGTGACGGGGACTTTCGCTTTGGCTATCGCTGAGGTTTCTCTTCGAGCTGCAAAAGCTGCTTTTGTCGTGTGGACAACTCGTCGTCGATCGAGAGCTCTAGATAAAAAGTTACACGAAATTTCACATTCACGACAGAAATCAGCAGAACGAGTATCTTCGACTGCAACTTTGAAGCTGGAATTTGAATTTTGGAGAAAACAAGTTATTTCTTACCACACAGCAGAAGTGACGGCCGATATGTACGCGGAGCATATTGCTATCGGCTGTTCTCAGTCGATTGTATTCTGGTGGCTTGGACACCCCTTGTATCCGGCGATGCGTGTGGATGCAATGTCAGAGCTTGACGCCTCAAGGTTTCTCTTTAATCAGGTGGCTATGCTCGGATTTCAGTGTCTCGTAGAAGTCTTCGTCGACTATGTGTGTATCGTTATGGAGATGGCAGCAGGCATCGAGTTTGATCGAATCGAAGGCCTCAGTACATTTTTAGGAGCTCTGTTCATGACGATGGCTGTCATCAATATCAACATATCCAGTGGCGTTTATCTAGGTTAGACATCACTATTTCTACTGTTAAATTCTTGAAATTTATTATTTTTAGGTCATTATGGTAATATTTTAATCTAATCTATTTCGAGTAGAAAAAAAAATTCAAGTAAAAAAAAAAGCTTAACATGGACCCACGTTACTTTCCACGTTGAACCACCGATCATGTCGGACATACTCCCGGCTCCAAGACTCGCGAGTTCTCGCATCGCTCCACTTCGTCCGTCCTTCTCCTCTCCTGTCATTCCACTCCGTCCGTCCTTCTCCGCTTCTGTCGCTCCGGATCAAACCGTGCGAGATGCGATCATCTCTAAATCATCGATAGATCTGGTCACTCAACCCGAAAAAAAGCAGCTACTGGACCACATCAGGCAATTACGTCTCCAACTGCAATGGAAGCCAGCAGCCAGACTCCAATTACTCATGTTTCGCAACACAATCGGTTGTGTCATTGCCGCAGTATTGGCGAATGGATGTTTCTACTCGGGGAATATTTTCTCGTCCAAGTCTTCCGCACAGCAATCTCGACAGGAATTTCTCATGGCCACGTTGGTTTGGACTGCAATAGTACACGCTATCAAGATGACGGCAGCTTATTTACCTTCGATGATGACCCAGCGCTTTCGTGAGCTTCCAGACTACAAACCCAGTCTGTATTTTTGCTTGAAAAAGCTCATCAAGGGTACATTCCCGTACTTTCTCGTATCATTAAGTGGCATGATTGGCACTGGTCTGCTCGTCCAGAATACATCACTGATGAATTACCTTCTGCAGTACAAACTTCACTTTTACATCGGGGTCTTGTTCAATATGATATTCACAGCTGGTATCGCGATCGTAGCGAGACAAATTTACTATGAAGAGGCCAATCACGATCAAAGTCGACGAGGTGCGTTACATAAACTTTTCGGTTCTACTGGTAACTTGTCATCTATTTCTCGGACACGAAGAGCAAGCAGGACTCGATCATCAAGCTTCTGGCGCGAGTACATAGCACAATTCCCTATTACGATCCTAATGGCAATAGGCGGTGGGTTTGTTCATATTGTGTCATGGTACGGCGTGCTAAATCAAGGCACATTTGTTATTATGAGCTTCACAATGCTTGGGATTACCATGAAACTTTTGATTCAAGAAGCTGCAAGACACTATATCCTTAAGAAAAAAATTCAAGGGATCCGCCATATGTGTCTTCTCGTGGGACTACCGACAGTAGTAATTGATACTCAATCACGAATCGTGCTACTAGGCACCCAAACGAATTCGTTTCTTGTAGCGGGGACGCTTGCTATGGCCGTCGCTGAATTATGTCTTCGTGCTGGGAAAGCTGCTTATGTTGCGCGTTCTATTAGACGTCGAGCATCTACCCTTGAAGCAAAAGTACTGGAACTGTCAGCTAATTGTAAACAATCAGAAGGGCGTTCTGAGTCTGCTTTGAAGCTGGAATTTGCTCTGTGGAAACGACAGATTGTTTCTTATCACACCGCTGAATTGACTGCTGATATGTATGCAGAGTATATCGCCATTGGGTGCTCTCAATCGATCATTTTCTGGTGGTCTGGACACCCTTTTTACCCGTCATTGCAGCTTGATACTGGGGCTGTGATGAGTCCGGGAGATAAAGCAATGTGGCGGTTTAATCAAGTAGGTATGCTCGGTTTCCAGTTTGTGGTAGAAATCTTCGTTGACTACGTGTGTGTCGTGGTGGAGATGGCAACGGGGATTGACTTCGCGCGGATCGAAAGCCGCAGCGCCTTTTTAGGAGTCGTGTTCATGATGATGGCCGTGCTTAACATCAACATTTCGAGCCTAGTATATCTGAGCTTTCAATAAGGTAAATTAAAAAAAAAACATGTAGAGAGTTAATGTGTCACGCAACATACTTCAGTCCACTCACCACGATGGCAATTCCTATTACTACACCTGTGCCAATCCAAAGTGGCGGTAGTGAACTGTGCGGTCTACTCGAAATTTCCATCCGCGGTTCTTTGAATGAATCGCACTCCAATCGCGCACAACAGGAAATGACATTGGTAGAGTATTGGTTGCTTAAGTACGATCGGCAATGTAGCTGGTGCAGCACAGGTTCTCGAAATAAGTAGTATGTGGAAGACTCGTTGAATAGAACTAAAGTGAATTCACAGTAAAGTAAAGCGGAGTACCCAGTATTTAGGAAATTTATGTTCTTCAAAAATAGAAATATCAACAAATAGTCCACAACAATGTGGATTTAGTGTAAAGAAAGCAATCTGTATGGAATAATTATTCTACGTAGCACATGTACTTGGCGCTCAGTCGAAGGCTGCTCCACCTTAAGGAAATGGTCAGTTTTCGTAGCCCTGGTCAGTTTAACAGCCCTCTTTATTAGCCAATTATAATGGTAAACAGGTTTTATTAGCGATATTCAATTCTGCTGCAGCAACTAACTATTTCTCGTTTTGTAGCTGTAATTGCCGAGCTTCCATCTCTCTTTCATGCAAGCTGACTTGCCGCATACGCACTTCTAACCCCATTAGCTGTAGTTCGCGGTTCTGCGTCAGCTGAGCCCGTTTCAATACCACTAAAGGAGAGGGTTCATTGTCATTGGTTCTGCGCCGCCGTTTCTTTGAGGGTATTTGCACTATTGATGTTGACGTGGAAGATCGACCGCTTGCCTGTGACACTGTAGTAGAATTAGCATTTGATTCACCCCCGGTTGAGCTGTTGTCTTCCTCTTCGGTGTCATCCTTTCGAAAAAATCTTGCAGCTGGACGAGCATCAGTTTTGTTGCAGATCGCCAAGAAGTTTATGGAGCTGGAAACAAAATGTGACCTGCTGCAAGAAAAAAAAAAGTTGCTGCAGCAGAATTGAATGCCACTAATAGTGATCAACGACAGAACGTTCTCCCCATAACACCCTTTCTCGTGAACCAGAAATACTTTGATCAAGACAAGGGGTTACTAAAGTGGCAAGGTCACCAATTCGCCGAATAACATTAGAGGTCTTTAACACAACTGAGTGGGTTCATCGCCAACTGTTACCGCTAAAACAATCCACAACTCCTAGGAGATATATTTAGCACAACTGTCCGAAGTTCCAGCTTCTTCCATCTGAACCACACTCAATTTAGAGAGAGCAAAGCGAAGACTTAGCAAAAGAGATGGTGTTTCGTTTTTCAGAAGGGAACGATAAAGAACTAATGCGTGAGGCTTTACTGCAAAAGCCTTTCGCAGCAAAATCCGGAGAGGCGTGAGCTCGAGTTAGCTCGTGAGGGAGCAGAAGAGCGTCTTCATCGGGGCCGCGAGGAGGCCGAAGAGCGCAATCGGCAGCTCATTTTGAAATGCGTTGAGGTTTTCGCCAACGCATCGAAAACTGAATAGGATTTGTAATGGATAAGAGAGAAAGATCATAGGTTTGCAAAACAAAAACTCAATGCATAGTGAACAGGACAATAAAATAACTAGAAAGACAAAACTATGAAAGAGAAGCCTTTATTTTGCAATGCATTAAGTACTGATTTAAGCTTGGTGGTGATAATCCAAAGTAGTCGCTGATTGTATTTCCACCGTTGGCACAAGTTAGGCAATTTGTCAGAAGAACTCCAACGCGGTACATTGATCCAACTGGTTGAGTACCTGGGCGAGCCTGACGCTTGAAATTCAGAGCTGTCCAATAAATAGAAACTTGTCCATAGCCCTATTCAACCGAAACTCGAAACTTACTCATGCTTTTGCTGACACGACTTTGGTCGATCGTAAGATTTCCAACAGCTCCTGCAAAAGGGCTGACTAAGACACCGTCGTTTCCATAAGCTTGATCTCCAAAAATGCGATAATTTTTTAAAAGATTATCGTTGTTAATGACTTAGGCAATTCCAGATTCCTTGAACAGTTTGATGTCATGATTTCCTCCCGGAAAGGGACCATAAAGATGAGCAAATAATCAAACAGGAGTAGATATAGTCTGGTATTTGAGGGCATGTTTGCGCTTGTGGCCGTTATATACAGCTTTCTGACTGCGATATTTTCCATCTCGAAGAACTTTCGTGGTTTTGGGCGACAAATCCCCCTAACAATTCCGTCCACAAAAGCCCATACATTCTGTATTAACCCACCAGCGTCAAATACAGCATCAGCGTAAAATTGTAAGTTTTGAGCCACATGTTCATGGTTGAAGTAGATAAGATCATTGCATTGGCGATCTAGATAGTCCAGGACGTGCAAGACAAAATTCGAGAGTCCACTTGACTTACGACCAAAGAAAAATTCCAAATCCGACCATCGCACTGGTACCGCGAATTTATATAAAACCATACATAGGTGTTCTATCCTGTTGGCTGCTGTACGTTCTCGAGTTCGGATAGAGTCGAATTTGAAACATTTGGTCAACAGTTGCACTTGGCGTTTGTCAAAGCAACATTTGTCGACGCAATCTTCATTTGACAGCGAGTTGAAATTAGTTTTTGAGACCAGAAAAATACCGCAACAGCTCCAGCGATAACAATTTGGTTGTTTTCGGTGGTTTTATACCAGATTCATATCACTTGCGCTCGTTTTAGATGACGCCGAACATCACTCGTAAGACTTCGTAGTATCTGCAGCTGAAACCCTTGTCGTCTTCTTCTTCGCTACTTGTGGGGTTCACGAATCTGTCGTTCACTGCCATTTTGTAACTTTGAGGTGGAGTTGGTTATCTAGAGGAACTGGTGCCGAAGAGATCAATATAGCTCACCGAAGGGTAAGATTTTGCTGGCGGTATAGTTGTCGCGAGAACCCGGGATGTTGCTTGCAAGGCAAGTTGATTAAAGAGAATTAACTAGAGACTAACTAACCGACCTCTTTGTCCTCTCCTAGCCTCCTCTTATGTAGCCAGCGCTGCCTCCTGAGCAGCGCCGTAAATGTAAAGTCCACAGGCGCCCAGCTAGCGCCGTAAACAGGAATCCTGTTTGTCCATGTAGCTTTTGTCGAGTCCGTGTCGGGGTTCAATGTCTTCGTGCCGACGCGTGCAGCGTCGGCGTGTCTTTATCCAGTCACATCCACGGAAGTTGCGAGGCGAAGCGCGTCACAACTCGTCGAGATCATTGCCATGATCAACCACGGCGACAGCAGCTTGACTCAACAGTAGCTGACGCCCAACATCGCCTCCCAAAGGTCGCTGTCGTCAGGTTAGTTGAGCTAGGCTCGAAGTAGGTCGCTGCTGGACTTCTCCACATACTCCCGCACTAAGACAGGAACATCCTTCAGTAACTCATCCACGCTCTCCCACGAATCCTCGATACTCTGTTGACCGGTCCACGACACCTTCAGGTTCCAGCGCTGCAAAGTATCGTTATACTGGTGATCGGTAATGTACTTGACTGTCATGATCATTCCTTGTCCTGCCACGAACTCCAGTATCTCCTCCGTCACACTTAGAGCTGAGTCCACGTAGTACTTGAGCCTGGTAGCATGGGCTTCATACTCAGCTCCAGTAACGAGGTGTCGAATCTGGAAAGAGTGTGCCCGTTCTGCCACCACTTGGAATGGGCCAACCCACTGCCCAAGTAACGTGTTGTTGGGTAG